AATGGAAGCAACCACCATATGGGTCACAAACGCAGTTTTGTCAGAACTCTACTGCAACAGGTTCAAACATGTAACAATGAGGACGGGAGAAAGAAAGAGGCAAAATACTTGCACTCCCTGTTCACAGCCAGTGGCCATCCATGGTCCTTTCTGTATAAGTGCCGACTAGTGCCTGCTTGTTGCTCGAAAATTGGTCCACGGTAGGCACAATCAACAGGAATATTTACTTAACTCCGGCCTATCAAGCCCTCCGTGCAAGGCTCCAGTCAGCACAGAGGCTGGCGGTGCTAGTGAGCAATTTGCAACGTCGTCAATAGTCGTCACTAGAGAGAGAGCTAGTCGCAGTTCAAACCAACGACGTGAAGCACCGACCCACCGGCGAGTGCAAACAAGCGAACTTGCATAACGCAGACGGCGACGGCGGATCCGCCTACCCAATTTTATGAAGGGAGATTTCACAGCAGCCAATACAGTGTACACGAGAGTCCGACGAACCTAACAGCGACCACAACAGCCGTGCAGGTGACAGTTGTCACACGAGTTCATCTGCAGTCCGCCACGGAGGGGCCTTAGCCAATCCACGAACAGCAGGAGGGTCAGCGTCCGTGCGTTATACATGCCCATAATACGAGTCAGGCTGTGAGACAAAACAATTCTCGGCTAGCAGGAACAACCATTGCACCACGAGGATGATTTTGAAACTTCAGCACCAATACAGTGTGATCCATGAAAGTGCCTTGTTTTCTCCTACGTCTTCTTTAGACGATGATGAACGGTCTACCTTCCATGTTATTCGGGTTTATATGAAACACACACAGTGTATTTTAGGTCCAACCGTTATGTAGTTTGTTTCGGCTTAGTAATTATGGGTTCCCCAAACCTTCTAAATGTTTGTCAGCCTGGCAGTATGTCAGCGGCATATATGTGCAAAAAAACTTTAAAATTTCTGTGCCTTCGCTACGGTATTATTAGTTTGCAATGCCGCTTTTAAATCCTACCTGTTACCAGCACCAGCTTACGTATTTATTTAAAATCTGTTTTAAAGTAGCAGTGTCGAGCAAAGTCCTTTATCAATTTTTATTACTTTATCTGTTTTAATGCCAATCTTTTTCTGTATGCAAACCGTTCTCATCAAATCTGCTCATCTAGTTGAAACAACTGCCCTATACATTTAATTACGCCTTAAAAACACTGACAAAATGGAACCACGCCCATTCGGGAATGTTCCACCACGGAATTTCTGCCAAATTCTGCGAAAATATGGCCATCAGCCTCGTACATCATTCTATTAATTTATACTAGCCTAAAAACGAAGGTGAAAAGGATAGGGGGATGTTTCCCAAACATTGTTTGATCCTCCATGATCAGTTAAATTTATTTAAAGGAATAATTCAAATCAATGTAAGGTTAAAATTACAGCGATGTATAGGAAAATAAGCGCAGTGCTTTCCCTCACTTCCATTCGCCAGATAGCCTGCAGGGGCGCACTGATAATGGAAGCAGGAAACAATAACTTCAGACACATAGTTAATGTTGATTTTAGGAATTAGTCCTCATTATCTAACTTATTTGATTTTGGTCACATAGTCTCAAATTATTTCCCATTCAAAAACAAATGAGTGCTTGAATGAAAAAAGCAATAATTTTTTTATCCTCCAAACTTGCGGAAGAACACACGTTAGTTCCGGACTGCATAATAGATTTGCAAGTCTGTTTATTTTTTACTAATGTCCGCAATCAGAAACGTTTCGGGTGGATGTTTATAATTTGAATATCCTTTCAAATCGGTAATATGAAAATAAACCTTTAGATCATATGGGCTTGCATGAAAGTCCCGTAGTATAGGTTTATTGCCTAATAATTATGCATTTCGTTTAAAACCATATAATTATGGCTTTTCCAAACACAAATTTGATTTTATGTCTGTCACTATAGCTGCGGCTTATATTCTTTAAAAAAGGTCACAAAGGCTTTGCCTTCGCAACGGTTTTATTAGTTTGCTAACATCGCTCTAAAGTTCAAACTCTTGGTAGCAGCAGTTTAAACTTTTACTTAAAATCAATGTTTAATTCACGGTTTCGAAAAAAAATTAAATGAAAAAGTGCAGTTGGCGTTGAAAACAGTCCAAACCTAACTACAAAGAGATCGGTCAAGCAAAACATCAAGGAGATTTTGTGAATCCCAGATTTCTGCGCAAGAATGTTTTTAAGGAGATGAGATTCATGACAGATTGACAAATATAGAGTGACTTTTCCACACGCATTTTCCCGGTTCAGTAATGCCTTGCTATTTACGGCTTCGCTTTTCTGGATTCAATTCTTCGCCCATTTTATAGGCAGGCATATCTAAATATATAGTACATATAC